TCACTGGCTTCCCATTGAAGTCCGGGCCCAATTCAAGGTGTTGGTGATGACCTATAAAGCCCTAAACGGCTTGGGTCCTGGCTACCTGAAGGAGCGCTTACGTCCATATATGCCCGCCCGCCCCCTGAGATCTGCAGGAGAGGCCCTTCTCCGGGAACCCTTCGTGAAGGAAATTAGGAGGGTAGGTACTCGGAGGAAGGCTTTCTCTGCAGTGGCGCCCAATCTATGGAATGCACTTTTTATTCAAACGTCATTTTAACTGTTAATACTATTTATTTATTTTATTCTTCGGCCAGGGCGACTTATTTTATATTGTTAACTTGTTTTATATGTTTATTGTATAATATTTTAATTGATATATTTGTGAGCCGCCCCGAGGCTTCGGCGAATGGGGTGGCATAGAAATTTTCTAAATAAGTAAATAAATAAAATTCTTGGGACCACATAAAAGACTATGCTGCACCATGCAAATTAGGAGCACTGTCTACCTTAGTTGTAGAAAAAAGAGAAAGGAATATGGTGAGGAGGATGGCTGGATCATACTTGTATCACAGGAATAGTGAAATGCGGTTCCGATGGGTTAAGCAGCAGTCATTTTGTTCAAACACCATAAAGGCCGAGGTTGATTTATAGACCATTTTATTTGTCATGAGCCAGTTATATAAATAATTTACCAAGAGCACAAGTTTCCACCGGGAGCATCTTGGGAAATTAAGGAATGCAAGAAGAAGAGGAAGCACACATGACCCCAGGCTTTCAGTTTGCTGCTGTTGTTTTACTTCCTCCACCCCTACAAGCAGCTTTGTAATCCTCAATGTCAGAAGACCTTGCACATCTGCCTGAGAGGACAGGTGTGCAAACTAATCTCCTGAGCTTAGAAAGGAGAGTGGAGAGCAAGATGCACATGTCACTAACATTTCAAACTTCCCCTTGTGCACCATATTCCAAATGGCAACTGAGCGGCTGCATGCAAAACTGCAGTGTCTGCTTGTGTCTGGTGGTTCCATCCTTTGCCTTGGGCAAAGCAAGCCAAAGAGCCAACTCCTGGTGGACAGACCCTAGTTTGTAAAAGCTATCCGAAAACCTAAAGCATTCAAATGGAGACTTAATGATGGTGTACATCATTCCACTATGACAGCGCACAGGAAACACAACACTTGAATTATATTGGAAGCTGAAAGCAGACAAGAGAAACGCATTTGCCATCAACACCAGAATGCAAGATAAACCAATAAATAAAGGAAGTGATTTTTGAAAAGTCTTAAAACCACATACCTTGGCACAGTTTACTGCAGGGCTGCCAAGGGCCATAGGTATTCCAAAAAAACTGCTGAGGTTTATCTTCAATGGGGATATTGAATGTATATCGAACATCAGGGTTATATAAATTACCCACTGATAAAACCTGAGAGGGACAGAGACAAAAAAGCGTAAGATCTGGGCTACTTCACCAAAAAGCAAAATGAGAAGAGTAGCATCTAGAGAATTTTCTTTTTAAAATAAGGCATTTTTCACCTGAAGAACAATTTCTTGATCGATACGGTATGTAGAATTGATTCGTTCAATGGGTGTGTCTGAGCCACTATATTCTATCACGGCATTTCCAACCTTGATTTCCTTCTTAAACATGCTGACGACATAATCTCCATTTAATATGAAGCCTTCATTACTTGATAATGCTATCCACACAGAAGCGAAACACACAAAACAAACACAAACAAATGAAAACAATGTAGTTTTCCTCCACAGACCAGAAAGGTTGCAAGTTGAAATGCACTGTATATTACCTATTGTTCAAAATGAAAACAGGAGCTTAATTTGTATTTGCCAAAGCAACCTAGCAAGAATGAGACATGTGAGCGGCTGTGTGTCACAGACCCTCTAGACTGATGCATGCATAGAGGATACTTCACCATAAGTCATCTGGAACAGCTTGCATTCAACACTTTCCCTTCATTCCTATGCACAGAATAAGTGGACTGAGGCATTAGGAATTAGGTTTGGATCAGATTTTCCATGGAGCATTTTAATTAGAATATTTTTGCTAGAACTGACAGTAGTCCAGTGACCTCGTTTCCAACAGTGACCAGAAAAAAATGCTATGAGGAAATGGATGTGAAAGGTCAGTGATTCCATTCTTCTTTTCCTGTGATTTATGACATGAAATTTCAAGTCTACCCTTTCTATATGCAGAATAAATCCCCCTAAAACTGGTCAATCGGCCCAAATAGCATTCTAAATGAGAGCCACCTAACTGTGAGCAATCCAGCACCAGTTAGTCCTGCCTAGAGGCTAACTGGCTTTGATGCCAGGCTAGCCCAGGTAAACAGCAACAGTAGAAGAGCCAAATTCAGTCAGTCTTTGTAACTCTTCTGGGAGGGAATGGGGATTTACTAACCCATGGCAACAATCCATACTTGCTAGGTTTGCATGCCATGACAAACCATGGTTTGCATATGCCAAATGCAACAGTAGAGTTGGAATAGAATAGTAGAGTTGGAAGAGGCCATGGAGGCCATCAAGACCAACCTCCTGCTGTTGCAGGACACCAATTTACACCATCCATATGGTTGCTTGTTACCACTGAGGGACAGCCAAGAAGTGGTTGTGTGCACCAACTAGCCAATTTGGATAAATGGCTACAAAAAGCCCAGACTGAATAGGGCAGGAATTGAAATGCTACACTGAACGAGGCTTCCATGAAAACTGACACAAAGGGGGGCCTGATATTTTAATATTGTAGAGAGCATGTGCTGCAGTCTTGGAGAGAGGAAATACACAGGTTTTTTTTAAAGGGGCTTTGAAAATGGTGAAACATTTACAGCAGGGAGGGATTTCAGCAGCTCTCCACAGTGATATCATTAATCAGGTGACATCAGGATAACTGCCTGAGGTCTATCTAGTCAAACATCTTGCTTTCCACAATAGCTAACCATATCCTTTTGAGAAATCGATAAGCAAGACACAAAGGCAAATGAGCCTTGGTATACTCCAGTAGCAAGTGCTAGTGGCACTTGGCAAGAGAGCCATTACAATTTTCCGGCAATCAAGCAGTCCCGAGTACTAAGAAACTCTCATTTCCCCTTGCTATGATGGGAACCCTGGTGGTAAAGTCACCTGGCTTTTTTTGCAAGAGCTAAGGAAAGGCTGTGCAGATTCCAGGAAGAAATCACAGCACCTGGAAGGTCTCACATTTCTCAAACTGTATGACTAATACTCGGAGACCATTAACACTCTGATCCTCTGACAGCACATTTGCTGCCCATTTTCAACTGAAGTGTGAATGAAGCCATTTCTGCGTAATTGCTAATTAAGCAATTCCCTCTGTGTGAGAGTTGTGGGTGCATCTGTGAGGCTTAGACAGACTCTTGACATGAAAAAATCCTTCAAATGATGTTGTCCTTCAACCTCACAAACACTTCTGAATGTAGCTCCCGAAGAGCCCTCTGCTAAATTGCTCAGCCAGCAATTTACAGTTATTGCTCTTTATGGCACACTACAGAGGCTAAATTGCCTGAAGTTCCCATTAGCCCTCAGGCAGAATTCCAAAGGTTGCGCCTAAATTTAGGCTTTTCATGTGCTAAAGTGATTACAGTCAGTAGGCCAGGTTTCCTTTTCTCAACTAAATATAAATAAATGTGTATCTCTTCCATTCAAATACTAGATCTCTTCCATTCAAATACTATGTATATTCCACCCCCATACTGCATTTCAGGAATACTACAGGCAGATCCACTGGGCATATTATTTCTAAACTCTCAGGAAGACCTTTGCTTCAGCTTTTGATACATGCACAAGTCAACATGGACACATGCTAACAAGGACAAGCCTGGTGACTACAAGTGCACCCAAAGGGTTTTGCTATGCTCATGAACACAGTTGTATATTTTCTAAAGCAGGAGTATACAACTGCAATGTAAAGGCCTTAACCATCCCCTTAACTGTGGCCGCTGGATTCCCCACTATCACAGTTTTCTCATAGAAACCACTTCTTCCCTACTGCTGACAGTGAAGGATGAACAATGAAAATCAGGAATACTGGGATAGTCTCCAAACCTTGAGCAGCATTAACTGCCACTATAAAATTACTGAGTTTTTCACACAGCCCTTAAATATATGAAAATTCTTTCTGCGTGTTCACATGTCACTGCGTGCTCATTTACCCATGGAGCTTTGTGACACGTGCTGCTTGCCATTTTGCATATTCAGGCCAGGCAAGGGGAAGGTGGTGGCTTGTCACTTGATAGTTACTTAGCAAGGGTACATGATTGGCATGATTGGTATGGTTAAGCAAGTACCCACAACCTTAAAACTCTCCATGGATTCTGGGTGGTTTACTAATCATGCCAACAATCCATACTTGCTAGATTTGCATGACATGACAAGCCATGGTTTGAATTATGCCAGTGTACAACACAGAGCTACCATTGGTGACTTGGTGGTTTGCCATGCTGTGCAAACCAGGTCTTCTTCTCTCTCTCTCTCTCTCTCTTCCTTGCGCTCTCTCGCTCTCTCTCTATCTTGTGCGCACACACACACACACACACACACACACACGTATGTGTCTGTGTGGGCATTTGCATTAGCTCACTATCTCATCTTCTCTACCCTCCCTATATATTCATATCATGAAACATTACATTACATACCTTTCCCCACAAACACATACCTTTATCTAATTATAAATAAATAGTGGTTTTGTTTGTTTGCTTTCTGGCTATATAAGCAGATCTTTAAAATGGAGATTCAGAAGGTGTTTGGTGAATATCACGTTTTGCATTTTGCTTTATGCCGAATTTGAGCTTGCAAAAAATGTCAGAGGCTTAAAACTCTAAACGCTTTCTTAAAAGGACATTTTCCTGAAAACAGCACTCTGGCTGCACAACTTCACACTAATGCGATTATGTAGTTAATTTTCTAAGTTAGTTTCCCCACCATTTCACCCATCACAGCTACTATATTGCTCTAAAGGAGAGCTCTGCATAGAATTGAAGGTGCTCTTCATTTCCATGAACTGCAAAAAATAAGGAATGATTACACTTCCAGTACACAAGCAAGAGGAATTTTCACAGCATACGGAATACAGACATCATGCACTCCTGGGTTACGATAATGCTGAAGAACATTGAGAAGCCCGCAGAAAAAATGACTTTTTTCTCTTGTAGGAGAGTGAAATAGCAAGGTAAAAAGTTCACACACCCCAAACTTCAGGATGTGATTTGATTCCTCCTATGTTGGAAGGTCACCTTCACCACAAACAGGCCACTACAAAAAGGAAATACTACATGTTCTTTGTGCCTAACCCCAGGCAAGACACAAGAAAAGCCACTGGAGTGACTGTAATGCCTGAGTAAAGTATCCTATTAAATACTACTCTAGGCTACTCTGGCTTCTCCTTGTTCTCCAGCATAGATTTTCAACAAGATTTAATGTAAATGCTATGTTAAATTTGTAGCTAGCTGTCCAGTCAGGAGATTTTTAAAAATCTTAGGCAAGGAGGGCAATCTTAATGGGGAGCACAATGTTTGAGGAAGAAAGATTCATAATTTCCTCCCCAGCAACTATGATCTTCCCACTCCAAGCACAGCAATGAATCTTACAGGGGGGAAAGTTCTCATTAGTGCCAGGGAGAGATTTTTCCCCCTTAAGGCTTACTGCAGTATATGGGGGAATGGCTTCTGTTAGAACTGCAGGTGTAGAGGGAAGGGTCAAACACTGTGGTCCTGATGAAAATCCCTGCCAAGGGTTTAAAAAATCCCTGGACATGCCTGCTAGCCACACAGTTAACATTATGTGTAGCTGCATCCTCAGAAGGTGTAATGTGCCAAGAATGTTTTGTCATGGGAACTTCCTGACTCAATACATGGGCATCTCTACAGAGAGACCTTAGACCAGGTGAGCTTTAGCTCCCTTTCCAAATAGTGGTTCTGTGACACAGAAGTATTTACACGTCTAGAAATATCTCAAGTCTTCAGTTGCTAATGAGTACCACATCTTACCAAGGTAGTTGTCATCTTCTGGTTTCCCTGAGTAACTATGCTGCCGTACATCTATATTGGTAGCACCTGCTGGTATGCGTATCACAGTGTTATAACCTGGGAAAACAAACTAGAGAGTCAAGTTTATTGTACATTTGTATCCATTGCTTGTTTAATGGACATGGTGAAGCAAAGCTGAGTAGTCACTGGGACTGACAACAACTAAACTTATGTAACATTACCATCAAGTAGCAAGGGACTCAAGTATCCAATAGCTAAAGGGAGATCTTGTTCATTATGAAGTTAAGCATTTTAAACAAGTTAAGGGGCTTCCTATCCCCAAGCATTTCTCTGGGTGAAGTTTTCTGCATGAGAGTCTTACCATAGTGCACTGTATTGAATGTCCCTGCAACAGTTTTGCATGATGAATTATCGCCACCACACACGCCGCATTTATCTCTTCTGGCCTTGGAATTCAGCACATGATCACATCCAGCTTGCTTTAAAGAAAGAAAAGTTCAGAACTAGATTGAACAAATATGAACATAGGATAGAATTTACAGGGCTCCAAATGAAAAACATACATCGGCCAGTGAAGGCCTCTGACAGCCTCATTCATTCTTTTCTTCTCCAATGTCCTGTCAAGCTATAATTATAACCATCTTCCAATTAGGACTTGAAAAACGAGTCTCATCCAAGCCTGCCAATTGAAGTATAAAACCACTCGGCATGCTGGGAGAGACGTGTGTGCAGAGGGGGCAGGGGGACCTGCGGGAGCTGCAGATGAGACCCTGCTCTGCTTCTGCCTCATGAACATAGGCAGGGATGGTATAAAAATGGATCAGGCTGTGTCCCTATGGCAGTCGTCCCCAACATGGTTTCTTCAGATGCTCTGGACTATACTTCCCAGCACTTCAAAACACTGGCCATGATTGCTGGGGCTGATGGGAGCTGTAGTCCAACACATCTGGAGGGCTTCCGCTTGGGGAAGGCTGCGCTTTCCAGCTAATCAGCAGTGCAATTATGATTGCACAGCTAATTATATAGTGCTGGTTCCAAGTGGAATCAGCATGAGTGGTTCTATCAACATGCAAGTGTCCCTGCTACACGAAGTAATTAGGCCAGTCATACAGGTACTGTGGCCTAGTCCTCAACTTTGGTATTTCTGGCAAGAATAAGGCTTGAGGAAGAAGCAGATATTTACTACTGTGTGGCCAAAGATCAAAAGCAGCTGTTCAAGAACACAGAGTTACCTCACAATTTCAGGCAGGTTTCCTTGAATGTTGTGTTTTAAGAGTGGTTTCAGATGTTCAGAGAAACACATGTCTACTACATTTATTTTGTTATCATAAGGTATCTTAAGAACCTTAAACCATTTAAATATGTGCCTATATGCAGGCAATCCATTCTACAGAAGAGGAGGACATCTTCCCACACACAGACCTAATGTGGCCCACGAGCCTTCCTGGATTCCTCCAGGGAGAAGGACTTGGAGGATTCCTGAAGGAATTCCTGCTGTTACCTCCAATCATAAGTCAGCGATAAAGGTAGCGGTCAGGGGTGGGCAGTGCCTGCCACACTGGGAAAGCCACTGTGCAAGTGAAGACGCCCAAGGGTGGTGGCAGCTGCAAGGATGTTTCTCTGGCCACCAACTGAGTTCCATACATTCTGACTGCAAAGTGGCCTTGCCATGCACAACCGTCTCTAACGGAGTCCAATAACACCTGCAGGGGGCAAAGTTTCCCCATCTCTGGCATGGGCCCCCAATCACAATTGGGGATGTCAGAGAAATCTGCAAAGGATGAAGCTGCATTTCGATTTCTATGAGTCCAAGTGGGAAGCTCTGCAATGAGACAACTTTTTCCAAGCCACCTAGATTCCATGGATATGCAGACCTATTTTTTATTTTTCCTTTTGTGGAGGAGCAGAATTGCACTTCTCCATTTGTAGAAGGGTGCATTTACAAACAAGAATGATACTCTCATTATAAAAATAACTTTGATCAATGAACAGATGATGAAATGAAAGCACTTGACTATCTATCAAACAGAAGGAACAGATTTAATAAAATCTGTACATCCCTACTTAAAATTACTGGAAATCCCCCATTATTTCATAATCTGTTTTTTCAAGAACACTGAAAAACACAATCAAGAGTAAGGCAAACAGAATCCTGAAAGGGAAATATTACAGCCTAGGAAAGCTGACAATGTTCTTTGGTTTAACTGAATATGAAGAGTATGAAACAGAGATATCAGCTCATATGAGAGAAGGATAGAGAGATTAACCCTTGCATCAAGTGAGTTAGCTAGTTCAACAGAAGAAGGCAATATTTACCCGACAAAGTCCTTGAACACAGATGTCATTTGTGTCTGGGCCACAAGGGGTGCCATCAATAACCCTGTCCCTGAGCTGGTAATAGGCCGTGTTTCCTGCCACTCTGCAGAAGAGCTTGCACCTATCTTTCATCAAAACTGCCAAGGCAAAACAATCAGGTTATTTTATTGCTAGTTTTTCACTCTGTACAGTGTGACTGCAATGCTGTCATTGTCCCAGTACTCTAAATTTGTGTCCCTTCCCTTGGAGACCCATACTCAAGAAACAGGTTGCTGGCCATTTTTTGCATGCTGGACTTCACCCAGCTCATTTACCAGACAGTGTGGCAGAAAAGTGGACAATCAGGCGGGGCTCCAGTGCAGTGGGAAAAGCAAAGAAGTGGAGGAAGAGAGCAGGTGGAATAATTTTAATAATCCCTTAAAGCAGGGATTGTTTTAAGCTGGAGCACATCAAAAACAGACCCAAAAGTCCAAACAACTGAATTGGCTGGTGACAAATCTCTCTCTCTCTCTCTCTGTGCGTGCGCACACGTGCACATAAATATTTTTGCATTATTTTCTTGTAAGATTGCCATTACTATATCTTGATAATCTCTTGTGATTTTGCTTGTGTTTGTTTGGCAGATTTTTCCAGGTCATTCTAACCTGCTATCTAAAGCATGTGGGGAACTCTGCCAGACTGATTAGAGACATGAATACTGGGAGGGAAATTACCTCATGAGAACCTTTGCATCTTAAAAAAGGCAGTGTGAGTCAGTCCAAGACCTAGGAAGGGGTAGGCAATTTGTAGACTGTGACTCCAATCATTCTTAAACATTGGCTAGGGCTGATGGTAAGGATGCATGAAAAATTCATTCCAGTTCATTTTATGTTGGGATAAACCCAGTTCAGAGCACCCAGACTTAATATAGATTCAAATGCATTTGAGAACATGTGTATGCTTGAAAAATGTACATAAAAATGCATACAAGTGCAATCGTGCTTTGGTCAATGGGAGAAGATGCATATAATAGATGTGTTCATTTGGAAAAATACACATGAAAATGCACATATATTTTCCAGCAAAATGAAAAAAACCCAAAGATTGCAATCTGATGCAAAAATAAGACAGACATACCTTTGAGTTGGCATTTGGACAATCTAGACAAACTCATGTTTTGCTTCCCTAGCTGATGGGAGTAGCAGGGTTGGAGGGTTACAAGTTGCCCACTCCTGGTCTGTTTGTTTGTTTGTTTAAAGTTTTTCTATGCCGTCCCATTACTAAAAAAGTCTCTGGACGTCTAGTGGAAACACATGCAACTAAGCTGGAAGGCAGATGTGTCTGTCTCATGAGACCTAGCATCTAGTTCATTTGTTGATATACTTACTGCCGCTATATTTGGGAACCCAACGCACATTAGGAGGTAGACCATTAATGTTAAAATGCTTCCCATCAAACACTGCACATTGTTCATCACGGAAATCTTTCTTTTGCTTAGGACATGGTTCAGTGTTGCAGGATTTAAATTTCATTCTGCGCCCCACACAGTATCTTCCACCATTTTTTGGTCTAAAAAAATGAAGTGTACATTATAAACTCATTTAACACACACACATTCACTCACAGATTCAACCAATCAGTTAAATAAGTTTTTGATTGCTTCTCTTGTCTTCTAACTTCATTCCAGTATATAATGCCCTAACAGAACTGGGATTAAGTTGGCTAGTCTTTTCCTATTTAGATGCTTAAAAAGCTGTCTCTGAAGGCCACCAAGCTGTTGCTGGTCAACTAGAGTGGTAAGTCTTAAATTTCCACTTGTTCTGTAACAGGAACTAGTTCTTTCAGGATGTTGGAACATATTTGTAAGGTTTGATAGGAATCAAACAAAACAAAACAAAAGAGGAAATACTAGTGGAGATGCTATATTGCAGCTTAGTTCAGAATAATGAACTCAGTCTAATATGGTATGTTAGTGGAATGAGTCTTGTGCCTATGAAGTTCCATTCAGTCTCTCCCTTCTGCCTTCTTTTACATGCTTTAATCCAACACTACCATGGTTCATTCAGTTAGTGTCCTATTATGCCTGAAGAAGGAAATGTTAGCTTCACACATCCTGTCTTCAAAACTAGGCTCAAACCTTGGTTTGCAATCTTGACTTGTAGTTAGCACTTGTAGTTAGATCCAATGGGAAACTGCAATTTGACAAATGCCAGATGTGTTGATTAAGGCACACAGTACAGGAGAGAAAAACAGAAGCAATGGCTAGGGTACAATACTTGTTCTTGGTCAAATACACCAGTAGGCAGAGATAATTATGTCAGGATTTTTTGGCACAAACTGACTTCACATCTGCAGTATACAGATATAGATATACCATCCAGGGCAAATGTAGTACCCCATCCAAGCATGACACATGACACCAGCTAACTCTGGGCCTAAATAAATGCACAGTTTTACTGTTGTCCTGGATTGCCAGGCACCTGGCAGTCTAACATTTGTTCGTATGACTGGCATCTAGTTGATGGGTCACAAATGGTAAACGTCTGGCGCCCTTGCTATGTAAACATTTTTCCTGAGCACATTTAAAGAGGGCTGCCTGATTATAAACCACTAGTATGATCCTCCAACATTGTTATGAAGAAAGATGAGATAAAATCCCACAAGCATATACACAACCAGTCCATGGCACTCATTGCAAAGTTAATTTGCACACTTCATTTCATAGTGATACTGCGCATACTTCTTCCTGCACACAGAAGATCTATGTAAAAGAATATGTCAAAAATGAAGCAGTCCTGTGATCAGGAGAAAAAGAATTGGCTTGGCCAAGGACCACTGCTCACTTAATACTCCTGCCTTCTGGGTTGAAATCAAATACACTGACTGCCAGACTGTATCCGTTTTCAATAAATACTGTAGGGTTCATTGAATTCAATAGCAAAAACTGTGATTGCAAATATATGATATTTAATTGTCAAAGGTTAATAGGTTAGCCTCAATTTCTTTTAAAGAGATCTGCTTCTGATATCTACTCAGAAGCAAACCCTGGTGAACTTAATGGTTTTTACTCCTAGGTAAGAGTGTCTAAGACATTTCACACCCACTTACATAGGAACAAGCCACAGTGATCTCAGTGGGGCTTACTTCTGAGTAGACATGCACAGAACAGCACTGAAAGAGCAAGTTTTAAAAAAACATTCTTGTGTTGTTGCTACATGCCATCAACTATGCACTTTAAAATTATTTTACTTAATTAAATATTTTTGTTTGAGAAGTATAAACAGTAATCTGCATGAAGCTAGCTCTGAAGGTTGCCTCCAATAACTTTTGAAGGCAATTCCATTTTCTTGTGTGATTCTTTTAAAATGTCAGATGCAGTATACCATATATCGGAACAACTGCAAGATGCTGGATTTTGCTTCCAAACTCTCTTTCATCAGCTTCACAGCACTGTAATCAAGCTTGCTTTCAATCAAAAACTTCCTTTCAAACAGGTTAAAACACAGTTATAGCTCTGGAATGGCTTTTCATTTGCACACTAGTTCCCGATCAGCCTAACAAAATGCAGAAATAGTTAGAAATTGGTCTTTCCCTTGAAAGGACAGGAAAACATTGTATACAGTAAGTGGAAATGGAAACCCCCCCCCCGAAAAATGGTATATATCCAGTTAGCTAATATGACAAACTTAGCTAATAACTAATGCAAAGTAAAGTTTTGAAAATCCACTTTCCTTATTTATGCAGTCAAGTGTCATCCAGAATCGTCTAAACAATGGATGATCATGCAAGACGAGTCCTTATGGTCTCAGACTGCTGGAGGGGCTCCACCACAGCTATCAACTCAAGTTCCTTAGAGGGAAATTGCAGACCTCTGGAACCAGATGCTTTTCTAGAATTTTCTTAAGTTTAGGGCCCTGTTTAACAACCGGCCTGACTGAAAATATACTTCCAGGAATTGTTGGTGGAATAGTCTTACAAAGAATACAGAAACCAAACATCAGGTAAGTTGTTTGAACAGAAGCCCTGCTCAGAAATTATCCACCATATGTGAAGCCTCCCAACCAAGTATATAAAGGATTGCAATTTTAGCAAAAAGGAGCCTTGGGTGGCAGAGACAAGAAGGCTGTAATGTGACCCAAAGACCATTTTAAGGGTGAATTTTATTTGCGTGACTGTTCTGCTTTTAGCCAATCATGAACTTAATATGTTTCAAAGTTCTGCAACTTCTTCCTGCAATAATTGTGTTGAAGCACCATTCTAGACAAGTCATACTTAGAGCAGACCTGCTGAAATCAATGAGACTTAAAATTAGTCATGACTAACTTTAGTTCCATCCATTTCAGTGGGTCTACTCCCAGTATGTTCTAAGTCTGGATGAACTTCAAGGTTCTCATTTAAACCCTCTGCAAAACAGAATTTAAAAAATTGTCCCAATTCTCTGCAAGATGGCAGAATAAAAAATTAAATGCACCAATATACTTCAAAGCATTTTGATAAATTACCTTCAGTCTCTTAGTACTGGCTGATTTAATCAATAGGCCTTATGTCAAACTTGAGATTATATTTACATTATGAAGAAATTAGTATATTAGAAATAGCTTCCCTTTGTCAGGCAGATAGATCTTTAGATCTCTATGAATTAACTCTTTCCTGTATCACACTAGTCAGTTCCAGAACACTCACTACCCTCATAGGCTGTGTTCAGACATTACATGGTAACATTCTGGTTTAATGTAAGCAAGCCCAAGTGGGTCTCTCCACTCCTGCTTTGTTTAGCCTGCGATCTGAACTAGGAATTCTAGCTTTTCTCTCCAGGTTTGTTCATTGGTTACAACTCTGGATTTTCAATAGGATGCACAAACCAAACTTAGGATGTCACAGTCAACGCAGGAGTGAACAAGTCCCTTTAACTTATTCATGGTAAACCGGAATCTAAGCAAAATACAGCTTAATATGAACGTGGTCCATTCAAACATTTGCTCTAGTTGGAACAGGACAGCCGATGGAACAAAATCAAGGATATGTAGTACATTCATGAGCAATGTCAATATTTGGGTTTTTAAAATAGCTTTTAAAGATACACACATTCACACATCCCATTGTTGGTCTGTTGTGTTGTCTGAACCCAGACTTGGTATTTCACCACGGTAAATCTGGTCTTTGGAAACCGTAAGAAACAATGGTTTGTTCTCTGGTTTCTCTGTACCTATCATGTTGTCTGAATCCAGGATTATGGTTTTCACAGACCTACTATGCAAATATCAGGAGTCCCCTGGAAAGTCTGATAGCTGCAAGATCCATCAAGCCTCTGCGTGTGGACCAATGAAGAAGAGGTAGGCGACCTAATCAAGGTGTATTGCTCCCTAAGATTGCATTTCAGGCACAGTGGCCAATAGGATACATGCCAACAGCAGGGGAACTGAGTGGGGATGATGAAAACCATGATAAAAAACTCTTGATCATCTGTTGGCTGGATCATAGTTTAAAAAGCCATGAACCATGGTAACAATGCAGGGTTGCTTATTGTGTTGCTCAAATGCATCCAATTACAAATTGATTTATCGACTCACAAAAGAACTTATGTCAGAACATAACTCTCCAAATTCTCCTCAGATTCCACTTGAAGTGAAAGGTTGTGGCAATTCTAAAAGAAAATATTTTGTTTCAATTTTTGCACATGGTACTACAACTGGTCTTCTTAATGCAGCACTTAAATTGCTTATAGACAATATTTCTTGCGGGAAAGCAGGTCACAGACCCCCAGTCTATGCTTGCTGCATGAACACTACGCATCAGAGCCATTTCCAAGCTGGTATAGGCCATACGGATGAAACTTCTACTCACTATTCCTGTGGACCCCCTATTGCCATGGGGAGTATGTGGTCCCCATTTCTCTCTCTTGTCCTTGCACCCATCCAAGCTATAAAAGTGTGCTTTTGTGAACAAATGGCTGTCCTCAAACACAGCTTGGAAGGGGAGGAGAGGGTGTTGGAGCACTGGCAGCTCCCTTACCAGGCTGCCGGGTGTCTGCCATGCACATGAGGCTCTTCCCACACAGGACTGGCAAAAGGGTAGGCTCAAGTTGAAGACATCAAGGCCATTTCCCTTAATGCGCATTCATAATATGCAGTATGCCACTTGTCACATTACCGTTAAGTGTACTAAGGTTAGCTAGAGGGCAACTAAACAATTCACCTGGAGAATACCTTAACCATTATCTTTAATATTTATGTGATTCTGGACTAAATTAGATATGATAAGCCTTAGTGTACTTTTTGGCTTTTTGACGTATTAAATAGTGGCTCTGGAGGTCCCAACACAGATTAATTCTGCACATTAGGATTTTAAACCTTCCTTCCACCACAGTTCTGCTCCTTCATCCTCTCCCTCCCACCTTCTATTTATTTTGCAACAAACAAAATCAACTCTGTTTATCTAGGTGCTTCATAACAGATGTTCTCTGGGCAGCTCACAAACAAACACTAAAATGCAGTATAAAACAATAGCAGCTATCCTGTTGAAATGAAACACAATTAAAACACAAAATGTTAAACTGAGAAGCTCTAGCTACAGGACATGCATGCCTAGGGAAGGAGTCACTCCCACACCCTTGACTTTTCCACATTATTTTTATAACAGTAGGCAAGACTTAAAAGTCGCCATTCACAAATGGTCTCCTATCCAACCTGACAGAGCTGGAGCAGTTTTGCCAGTTAACCTGGGCAAACTTTGTTGGATCCAGACACACAAAGCTAACAGACTTACCCAAGAAGACTCACAGCTGCAGTTACTGTCAGAGATGCTTCCTAACAAGTATTCTTTGAACTGATTTCGACAGGCAAGTTTAGTTGATGAAAAACAATATATGGAAACTCTCGTAAAACCAGGCTTTGAAGTATTACATGTTAAAGGCATTTATTTTTTATTTTTTATTCATATCCTGCCTTTTTCCTACAAAGGGCTCAAGGCAGCTTACATCTTCTCCTCCATCTTAACCCCACAAAAACAATCCTGTGAGGTAGGTTGGACTAGGGCTTGGATTTCTTTCCCATGGACCTTGCTAATATTTGTGGAACTAAAATGCATGTCTCAGTACCAACTTTGCATCACTTCCTAACACAGAGGTCACCTTGAGCTGATTTTGCCTTGGCGCAATGAATGCCATGTATCACCTAGCTGAGGCCCCTTTCCAACAATTAATTCATCACATGAAACAGAAATAGCAAAATCACCTAGTGGTGTTTTTAGCAGGTAAAGAGCAATGTGGCACTGAGGTAAATGAGAAATGACATCTAAAACATCTTGCGCAGGCGTGACTTAATGGGAGAAGAAATGATATGCTAACACCAGTCAGTCCCCACTTGCCAAAGTTGGCATACAGACCAAAGGCTAAAGCAATGACTTGGGAGTCTTGATCCACCGTCTGCTTTCCCCAGCACCACATAATGCCTGTTTTTCCCATATCAAGGCATGTTCACCATAATCCTCAAGATAGGACATCAACTAGATGGCTCTGGGGTTAGCTATTTGCACTTTAATACTTTGCTCAACATGCCTGGAAAACATGTTACTGACCTCATCATCCCTAGAGTTTATTAGTTCAGTGTCAATTTTGGCTTTCCTGTCAGCTTAGCAAAGGAAGCCTGCTGTGGACTGATGCCCTTGCTTAACTGCCCCCCCCCCACCTTTTTTAATGAACATGAATTTTAATATTCTGATTTTTAAAAGAAAGCTGTTGTGCACTGCCTGTGGTAACTATTTCAGTGTGTCTAAGGGATGATGTCAAAGAGCAGCTTCTCCTTGCTCTTCCCCACCCTTTGAAACAAAGCTTTTCAAAAGCACTTCATGATATGGCATGAGTTCATTACTCTAAGGGCAGTAGAAATGCCTACTGGGTATGTCTAACTTCCCTTTCCACCCCAACTGACGTATTGGTATTCATAACTGCAAAGCATGTATCCAGTGCAAGTATGCTCAAGTAAATTCTGATGGTCATTTGCAGGCGTGCTCTTCCCCAGAAACTCTTCCTCTTGATTTCAGATTGCAAATCCCAGAATATTAGAGTAGTCTGTTATTTGTGAAGACAACTGGAACATTCTTTGACCAAAATTAAACTAAGGTTGTATCTTTGCAGTCCATCTGCATGCTCCTCAGAATGCAAACAGCAGCTGTTCTCTCTTTCTCTCTCTGAATGAATTACAAAGACTGTGGCAGTGAGGTGGAGTTTTCCTGGGGAAAAGTCCTCCTCTGAAGCTGGTTTTCTCCCCCACTCCAGGCAATAATGAATGATTTCTCTTCCAGTGCAAATACTATCTTTAGAGGAGCAATTGCTGGCAGAGTCACAGCCTTGCTGTATTCAGGGCTGAGGTTAGGCATTGTAAGAAGGTCTTGTGGGTTTAATCATAACTCAAATTCAGTCCTGATTTAGGGCTACTAACTCAGATAATATTGCAACTGCCTGTGCAGGCTCTCCCATGGAATGGTTTGTGAATTTTACTGTCTTCGATGTGTAATTGTCTAGGATTCCCCCCAGTGGGTCTCATACAAGTACATACACATCATCTGTGCCTCACCTATGCAAATGAAGTACATGTGCATTGTCCATGTCATTCCACCGTTCCCCAAAAAATGGTTTCCATATAGTGATTTCTTAAATTTGCTTAATCCTGTCCTTCAACAAAAGCCCCATAGCAACTCACAAAATTGAAAAACACAATAAAAACAAAACAAAAACAGACTAAATGTACTAAAACATATCAACACCTGCAAAACCAATAGAAACTTAAAAACAGACACAGCCAAGATAAAATATATCACAGTAAATTTAAAGGCCTAGGGGAAAACAGTCTTTGACTAAGGCCAAATTGACATCAGAGCAGATGGTGGCAAGCCTCTTGGGTCAGAGTATTCCACAATCAGGATGTCATTCTGCCAGGCTGAATAGGGTCCAGTTTAACCTTTTCATCTGCATATGTGCAAATTCAACTGGGACTGGAGGGACCCACATGTTAAAGCCATTAACAGAAAAGTTGTGGTGATGTAAGATTTACTAGCATGCTAGAAAAAAAAACACATCCTATCTGTATTTCCCATTTATGTAGGGAGAACTCTATGTTCTGTATTTACACCAATAAACTTGTCAGTCTGTATACACATGATACATTAAGTGCACAATCCGTGCATATTTATATGGAAAAAAGGACTGCAATTTCCAGCACACAATACTGGCTATAGCATACTGGAAGAAGTAAGCTTTTTTCCTATCTATATATGCACAGAAGTGTACTTTATGCCACAAAACCTGGCTTAATAGCCACAATGTGAAAAAGCAGCATGTTGCTGCGCACAACCTGTTACTTCCTGCTTCCTCATCCCCTTCAAGGGGGCAGGTAAACAAGCCAGGAAGGGGAAGCTTCATGTGATGTCAGAACCCAACAGATTATGGTTAGTGTACTCAAACATGCCAGGATTTATACATCAACAACAAACTCTGGTTTCTTGCTGGGTTGAGTATGCTTCACCATAATCCTGTGCTTGGACATCACACAATGCTATTTCTTCCTGGTTTGTTTACCTGCTCACACACAAAAGTAAGGGGACAGAAACATGCTGTTGCTCTGCTCCTCCTTTACCTTGTGGTTTACCAGGCAGAATTTCTAGTTATACTGATGTGCAAACCCAGCCACAGTATTCAACATTCCTGTACTTACTCAGGCCTGTTGCATTCTCGAACAGCATTTTTAATTCCCCCACCACATGTTCGTGAGCAAGCTCCAAAGGGACTCCATGTACCCCACGCCCCGTCTGTCACAGGTATTTCTCGCTCTCTGGGAACACAGTGGCCATACTTGCAGTGCTAAATTTCAGAAAGGAGGCCAGAGAAAGAGAGATAGCAATTAAAAATGTTGTTAAAATCTATCTCAATTAATTTTAAAATATGTTTGAGGAAAAACTCAGTTTGATTATTTGCAGGTGTTTTTCTTTGTTTTTAAAACTCATGAGGTTCTTCATTAGACACAGGGCTACTCTCCTGCTCCAAATTTGGGCAGGAGGATGTTTTGGAAAGCTGCTACATAGTAAGTTTACTGTTCAAAATCTTGTTGTGATGCTACATAATAAATTTATTATTTAATTTCCATCTTTTATTAAAATCTAATTTTCCACTCTTTACTCTTGTGACTTTTAAATTTAATGGGAAAGATGCATGCACACACAGAGAGAAACACCTAGCCAGCAGTTTTTCCCACCTTTTCAGAGATTAGTCTTGACAAGGAATACCATAAAAAGATGACAGAAAATTGAGATTAGTATAATAGCTTAAATAGACAGAACCTCTTTGCAGTATCACTTTTTCTATATTCTCAAATGCAGCTAAATAGGCAAGAGTGACTTCAGTGATACTCATTTCAGAACTTGTAACAGACAGAAATCCTTCTAATATCTTTCATCACCAGTGCCTTCCTTTATCATTTAATGCTAAAAGGCGCCAACCAGCTGTCTTTTAAATAAGTACAGAAACAATACAAAAGTATAACAACTATACATAAATCAGATTCTGTAATTGTCTATTCACATCGTCTATTTACACAGGAAATTCTTCTTTCCATGAAGTTCAGAGCGAGCATTTTGTGGAGAAAGTTCAGCTTTTACGAAATGTGAAAGTCTCCCTGAAAAGTAGATATGACAGGTATACTGTTGCAAACAATATGTGAGAAGAATGCCAAACAGTATGCACAACACACAAAGGGAAAACTTGATAGCCAACACCTTGAGAGGTAGACCAACCTACACAATGATACAGTACAATGAGCTTCTATGACAGCAAGAGTTACTATCTACCTTACAGAAATAAACAACAGAAGAATCTTTTTTAAAAGGCAGTAGAAAAACTGGTAGGATAAAAGCATCAAACCTGACAAACATATGTACGGTTAGAGTAAATCAATGAGGTGTTCGACATTAATTCTTTGCTGGATATGATCATATGATCCTCCTATGAGGAACAGCAGTAAGTTCAGAATTTTTAGCAAAAGGGGATGGTAGGGAAGGGAACAAATGTGCAATTAACTAAGTGAATTTATTTATTTTACTACATGCTTCATTAATGAATTTTTGGTGCTGTTTTACAATTTAACACATAGTAATGATACAAATAAAATTGTTATAAAACAATCAGCAATCTAAAACTAATAAACATACAAGCACAGCATAAAATATACTAAGAGGTATAAGAAGTAAAACTATACTGTAAGGGAATAAAATAATGAAATGCTAAAAATACTAATGAATTTAAACAGTGGAAAAGCCTGGGAGAACAGTGAGGTCTTACTCTGGTGCCAAAAAAGAAAGCGGCACACCAGGTAATCTTCTCTTGGCAGAGCATCTCAGAGCTGGGAGAGAGGGACCACTGGGAAGGCTATGTTAAGCTTCTGTTCAGAAGGCTGTTCAGGGCTCACTCCCATGGAAGATTTAAAAAAGTCCTGCACTTCTAGCATGCCTCAGCCAGATGGCTGGCTAGAAAATGCTGGAAGTTGTGGACCTTTTTCCTGTATAAACATGAATAGGATTGCAGGTTAAGTGTGCATACCACTATTCTGATTTGAAGAGGTATCACGTAGGTGAATTTCACACATTGTGTTCTGGCAGAAATGAGCTCTCCAACAGAGGCGCACATGGTGATGAAATATTGCGAATGCTAGTTTAACGTGTGCACTTGTAGGGCACATGTTGAAAATATATGCTTAGCATGCGGACCACACTGCATTTCTGTATTTTATCTTCAGACTTTAACATGTAGTATTTAAAGTAGGGCACATAGCTTATTATGTTTTTTCAAGTAAAGATGAGAAGTATACTTAAGCAATAAGATAATTAATTTAAATTGTTTTTTAAAACACAAGAAGAGTGTATGTGGGGGCAGGACATAGAATTATGCTGAGATAGGGCAGACAAAATAAACTGGTTCAGATAAATGAAAAACCATTGCTCCCTTTCCTGTTGTGTGAATTAGCCTGCAAAAGCCTTGGATTCATATGCTCCCCTCCTCTTTTGGATACCACTGGTTAACCATTTAACTTCATAAACAAGGCACAGTTCTCTAAGATGTCTGAATTTGGGGAACTGTAGTTTGTTAGAATAATGATTAATAGTAACAAGCCAATATTAAACTATGGGTTCTGATGCTGGCTTGTTCTGCCAGTACAGCTCAAACAAACTACAGTATTCAGAGATAACTGAAGACTATAGTTTGTTTAAAGGCAGAAGCAGGTATTTCCCATTCCTTCCTCTGGTGCGTGAAGAAGGATAAAAAGGGGGGATCTGCAGGATTCCAGTCTGCAGGTTGAAATAGACAAGTCAACATATAACTAACTGGTAGTTAGATGCATATTGGTACATTTCTGTTAATTCAGATTCTAACTGCAGACATGATTGGCTTTGATTTCCTAAATAACAAAGGGTAACTGAACTGAAAAGTGATGGCTCTCCAAACCATTGACTTGTTCCCATATTCTGAGCCAGAACAAGAAGCACAAGTCTGACAGCTTCAGAAAAAAAAAGCCTGTCTGATTTCCTGATTCTGCATTAGATGTTACAACGAAAGGCACGTTTGCAGATGATAAAACTAAAGGAATAAAGGATGCAGCCAACAGAGTGTGTGGAGGGGGCGGTGGGGGGATGTAAAAACAAGCATCTTTCACTGGGGGAGGTTTCCTATCTCTGACCCATCCGGTTGGGTGTTCTGTTTCCCTCCTGAAAAGATTCTGAACTGCACTGCACTAACCGCATCACTCCCAGGGAAGGGGAAGCTTCAGGACCAATTCCTGCACAAACCTTCTGCACAGGCACATGAGTTCCACAGCTGTCATAAACAGAGATACACATGGCATCGATACAGGCAGTGCTGTCCCAAAGGAGGAACATCTTGCAGAACAGCTGCCATGTGTAGCAAAAATGCTGAATTGCAGTCATGCTTACCATAGAACAGACCATTTGGCTTGCAAGTACACAGAACTCACATAGTATGTTTTACACACATTAGAGCCAGCAGTAGAAGGCAGGCACCTCATCTGAGAAATGGCTGCAGTCTAATGAAATCCACTGGTAATTGTCAATGATAAACTTATTACAGAGAAGCTCTCCACCTTGGTTGTCTGAGTACAACTTAACAGCCACACAGTGGAGTCTGAAAATTAGGAGTGTCTTGTGTGTGAAGTCAACATGATGACCTAAACAAACATATGTGAATCTGTCATTTATACTGAAAAGTTCAAAATTCAGAGTGTGAATTATTATATAGTACTACCCAGCTCAATGTCCTGGCAACGGTGACACATGCGCTGGTGACTTCCCGCCTAGACTTCTGTAACGCGCTTTACGTGGGGCTTCCCCTGAAGACGGTCCGAACACTTCAATTGGTGCAAAATCGAGCTGCCAGGTTGCTGACGGGGACGGGGCGTTATGCTCACATGACTCCAGTCCTCCGTCAGCTTCACTGGCTTCCCATTGAAGCCCGGGCCCAATTCAAGGTGTTGATTATGACCTATAAAGCCCTAAACGGCTTGGGTCCTGGCTACCTGAACGAGCGCTTATGTCCGTATATGCCCGACCGCCCTTTGAGATCTGCGGGAGAGTCCCTTCTCCGGGAACCCTCCATGAAAGAAATTAGGAGAGTAAGTACTCGGAGGAGGGCTTTCTCTGCGGTGGCACCCAACCTATGGAATTCACTCCCCAAAGAGGTCCGCCTGGCACCGTCATTACTGGTTTTTCGGCGCCAGGTAAAGACCTTTTTATTTAAACATCATTTTAATTGTTAAAACATATGATCTGGCCAGGGCAACTTCTTCTTCCTTCTCTTTCTCCTCCTATATCTTTATTTACTTAATTTATACTGATAATTTTAACCTTATATTTGTAAACCAATGTATTTTTTGTATTTTGTATTTAATGGTAATTTATTATGTGCTATTGTATTTCATTGTATTTTATCGTGTTGTAAGCCGCCCCGAGGTTTCGGCAAGGGGCGGCATAGAAATGTTATAATAATAATAATAATAATAATAATAATAATAAAAACATTTCTAGCAGGTTGGAATATGTCTCATTTAGGGAGGAGACAAAGCAGCCATGCTTATTATGTTTTGGCCTTAATTTCAGACTTCAATGTCAGAATTTCCTAGGCCTTATTTAGGCCTCCACAGAAAAAACAACAAGATGTTTTCTTGACAAGCCTATATTTCATGGTCTTTAAAACCAGCAGGCTTGAGGCAAAACATGAGTCCCCACACACTTTGACTGTGCAAGGCTGCAAACTGCTGAACATTTTAAAAATCCTTCTCTAACCAAGGGAATAAAGTTCCAAATTTTACATCTGAACCAGGAAATATGAACAGATGACCATGTGTGTTTTTACAACTGCTGCAAGAATTGCCTAGGAATGTTGTTCAGGCACCCTCCATCACAGATGGGACCCCCGAAAGTACAATATTTTGTTACAGATTTGGTCTCATAATCATACTAAATTCCAGTGCAATTCACCACTGGAAAGCAGGAGCAACACCGAGCATTACTGCAGAAAAGAAATCCCTAAATCTCTTCAGGAGCAATGCTATGCATGTTTAGACAGGAAAAGGTCCCACAAGTCCTAGCAAATATGGTATGTTGTGTGCAACTGCTATGGTTTGAACACTGAAAAAACTAGTGTATCCTTTCTTTTTAATCCAGAATCTGAGTAAGAAATAGAAATACAGGGTGGACATACATCTCACCCACTCCATCTTAATGAGGCTACTTTTGCAAGCAATCTGGCTATCAATGGGTTGTAAATGACATGTGGAATTTTGAAAAGGGCTTTTAAGTTCTATTATATCTGAGGGTGATCATCTCAGACTGAGATCAGCATGTTTATCAATTGCCCTGTTAAATTATCTGCAATGTCTGCCAGTGAAAAGATGGACATTCTGCTAGTAGCTTCTAATTGATTGATTTTTATATGCCCCCGCCCATAGCCAAAGTGAAAGAGTTGTATCCAATGTTATTTGGACTTAAATCTGGCCCATTTATGAATGGGACTGAAGTTAAATTAACACTGGATTCAACCCACAATGAAAAATCTAGTTGTGGTCTTTCACTGTATATCACTGGGTTCAAACAATATGAGCAACCCAGAGAGATAACCCATGGTTTGTTGATGTATTGTGGAAACTGTGTTTTGCTCCCAGAAATTTGTTGTCTCATATGAAAATGCACTGTCTGAACTCAGTCAGTACATTCCCCATGTGGTTCTGACTAAGAACTGTTTCCTCATATTGCATTATATTTATGTATTTTTAAAACTCTTATATACCATCCCATCACTGACTTCTCAGGACAGTTATATGGACAGGTTGTATGCACACTCCTGCCCTTCGCCACATAAAAGCCCTTTCACTTCTGAATCAGCTCCATTTCCTCTGATTCAAGGCAGCATTTCACTGCTCTGCCAGATCATTGCTAAGTTTCAGTAGTTCAGCAATAAATTGTAACTGAACTTGCCTTGCTGTATATGAGGGATGTCTGTTCACAGAAGAGTCTGCTCTTTGACACAGTGAGAAGCTGGCGAACCTCCCCATTCACCTTGCGCTCTCTTGGGTAGTCAGGCCTTGAAAATACCACCACAAGAAGGCAACTCTGCAAGGCAAATCTGAATAGTTTCTTTGTCAAGTGGACATTTCCCCCCTCTTCTTCTGGCTTATGTGTAAAACTGGCAAAACTGCATGGAAAGGTGCTTCACACAAATACCCTGCCCCATGGGCTGCCTTCATGTGGTTTCATATTTAAGCAGCCATCACAGTACAAAGTGCAGTGGCACTGTCGGTTTCAGTCCGCTGCTGAGAGAAGAAAGCGCCCCGTTCATGAAGAGATGGCTGAATGTTTTCCTATGGGAATCAACAGGCAGAGGGAATGTGGTCTGTGAACAAGCACCAACCTGTGATCTATTCAGTTTTAAAATTGCTAATATAGAACACATTAAATGATCAAAGAACTGAGACTATCATAATAACAATTTTTCTGTTTACATGGAGGTTTGGGGAAGGAGCTGGGGAGAGAGCAGGAAATAGTAAATGTGCCAGCAACAAACCTTTCCGAGGCCACATTCTGTTCCATCAGCCCATGGTGTGTGTTGCGTGCGACATCCTTTATGTGCTCCATCAGCATTGATGCACCAGAGTCTTCTGCACTGCTTCTGCTTAAGTGATTTGAAATGGTCTCAGCATTACTGAACAGCTAGGACAAGATCTGTTATGTACCACATACATATTCTAGATCGTTTTCCTGGTGTTAGTAATGTCACTGACTGAAGAATATACACAATTAACAATGTATAAAATATGGCAAGGAACTTTAGCTAAAGTTACGAATGTAGAACCTTCCTCCTTAAATTCCTTATCCTGGATTTGCAGCTGGGTTTGTGGCTACGTCTGCATCCACATGGAAGCATCAGGAAATCATTTCATGGAAAACTCATTTAAAAATTCCTATTAAATCCTACTAAAAACAGAGAAATCTGAATAATGAGGAAATAGTAAATACTTAGGATAATCCAGAAATATGGCTGCATCATTGATGTAAGAGCTGACATAACACCTTTCTAAAGTTCTTCCTGTGAGTCCTTTCCCTGGCATACTATATATCCCCTATTTAAGTCAATCCTTTCTATTTTAAAACTTTCTGGATCTTGTGATCATTCGGAAAAGCTTGAAAATGGTAAAACCCTGCTTCGTGAAGGCAAAATATAGAAAATGGTCTCAACATTATCAGGCCCTGTAGTATTATTCTTTAAAATCAATAGTATCTTAGCAATGGAAAGCCTCTTACCACTACTGAAAAAAGATTACCAGTAACAATTTGCAGGGTGATTGTACATTCCAACTTATTATCACAATATGCAGAGAAGAGCTCTTTAAAAATCCTATTTATTTCCTCACATGATTCCTGGTTAAGATCAACTATATAGAATTCTAGGATATTTAAATAATATAAATAACTGGCTGACAATTTAGGCTGTATCGCTATACATACTTTTCTGGAATAAGTCTCTTTGAGCTCAATGAGGCTTATTTGTAAGTAAATATGTGTAAGTTTACAATGTTGAAGGTACAATCCTATGCAAGCTTAAATGGGAAAATGCCTACAATTCCCAGCATGTTCCGGACAGCTGACTGGGACATGCTGAAAGTTGTAGGCCTTTTTTCCTGTTTAAATTTGCATAGGATTGCACCTTAAATTATATAATCAGTTAATCTCTAGCACCAGTCCTTTCAATTGTTTCCATCTCTGATATTCTTTTATATTTGATCAGAGTCAAACTGAAAGCATTTATAAATTAGGGATTTTTGACCAGGGCTGTGTAGCCTGTTCTGATGCATATTAAATGCCCATCCTTATGATTTCTTTAACTCCTCAGAACAATTTCCAACCCAAAATCTGGCAAATGGACATATGTGTGTCTGTGTAATGTGCCTGCCAGTGGCAGGTTAGCACCTGGCATGTTGATAAAAAGAATGTTCATTGAAAATTAATCACATTAACCTAAATAATCATGCTATTACCTGATTCTTTTGGTCTATTATTAACAGCCTGGCTTTTACGTTTACATCAGCAGTCACACCCATGAAAAGATGTGTACCCAAAACACTGCAAAATACCCATTCTTGTTAAAAAAAAAGTTTAACTAAGATCATTAGTGATGGAAAACATTTGGGAAAAAACCTTTTCCTTATATACTTATTAAACATATCTGATCCCCCTCCCCAGCCCATCACCTGTAAATCTAATCCAGGAGTCAAATTTCAGGGCATATCGCACTCATATGTTGAAAATTAAGTTCCTTTCTAATATTGGCTACAAATATCAAACATAATGATCAAATAGCCTGCCAGGGACATCCAATGCTTTTCCAAGAAACTTTGCCATCTGGCTGTGGACTCTGCGTGAATGCCCCCAAAGCATCTGTTCTACCTGATCAGGCTATTGCTAAGAAACAAACTGCTGACTGGGTGAGAAGTCTGCCAATATTTGGCCCCACCTAACCAGCTGTAATGCTCATACACATACCAATGGGAAAGAGACCCATCTTTGATAGAACAACTTCTATCTTGCTTGGAAGAAGATACAAATATGGGAAAATCTAGTAATGAACTTAAACTGCTTCAAATTCTAAGTGAAGGGCAAGCTCCAATATCTTCCAGAAGTAAGTCCCTTTCAAAATTCATCATCAGAAATACAAAATACATGCACACATCCTATACTGTATAGGCCCATCAATATTTCAGACTTGAAACAAGGCAAAGATCTTAAAAGGTAAAGAACCTAATAAAAAACATCTTACCATATAGGGGCAAACCTTAGCTCCGGGCCCAAAAATTAACTCGCACTGCTTATTGACATCATATATGTATCCTGGAAGTTGTTGAGGCAAAGTGTATGTTCTTGATGTAGGTTCATCAAGCAAACATTCCCCATAACCAGTGCTAGAAATGAAAAATGTTAAATTTATCTCTACAGCTACATTGCAGAAGTAGGTCATTCTAAACAATCATAATGTTTAGTCAGTAGAGTATTAACAATGGACAGTATCCAGCATTGTCATTCTGAAAACCCAAATAGCACTAGTGGAGCCTCACTGAATATTTGTATTGTGAAACCAGCTGTGTAAGGAGTTGCACAATGGGTGGCATAAGAGTTACGTGCAAGCAGTTGCACAGGCACAGCACACAACCAGTTACGCACATGCACTTGTGTAAATACAGCTTCCACTGGATTCTTTTGTTATTCCTAATTCTGATTCTAGTTTCTGCCAGCACATCATTTGAGGATAACAGAATGACACAGCTGGACACTGCTCAATGAAGAGTAACATTTAGCATAAAGCCTCTATGCTAATGGCATGGGAAATTAAATTCCACTCCTCTAGATTGCCATTGTCCTAATACAAGTTGAAGATGCATGAGCTTACACTGAATGCTAAAGAAAATAATCTGAAGAATATTAAGTTTGGCCCTTAGGGTGACTCCAGCCACTTTTATTGTCCCATCACCCTGTCTTAGTCACAAAATTTTATTGGAGGGGAGAGGAGTCCAGATAACAATGTTTTCCACTCAGAACCATCCCATGTTTTTCACATCACTTCTTCTGTCTTTTTTGCTCAACACAGAAAATCCATTAAGGAGAAAAATAGAGAATTCCTGCAGAATACTTTCTCATTCATAGTGCTAGGAACCCTCCATCTGGAAGTCCTCTAACTACCTAGCAAGTCTCAAAAATCAGATTATTTATTTATTTATTTTGCCTTTCCGATTATATATTTCTTTTCAAAGAAGTATCAAAGTGGTGAACATAAAATACAAATGGCTTAAAACCATCCATAAATATAATGATTAAAACAATCACTCAGCAATTACACTGTATTTTCAACTGTGGCCAAGTTCCACTGCAAGGATAGCCTCCACTGAACAATGAATTTTAAGATGCTATCTGGGCATCAGAACCGTAGGGGCCTGTCAGTACAGACTAGGGATTCTAGAGAATGGGGATTCTAAGCTATAGACAACCACAAGCTGTTATATAGTTACTGTTGTTTGGTATCCGTTAATGTTTGTATAATTCTGCTCAGTTGCACAGTTTGGCTTTCTGAGTTGGTTGCTGGTTACAGCACTGTTATAAGTTTTGCATTTTTGACACAACGGAAGTATGTGATACACAATCATGTGTGCTGCCCTGGGCTCTTTGGAGAGAAGGTAGGACGGATGTGTAAAAAACGATTAAACAAACTCATTCTGGTATTTATTGTCTGCATCAGGAACTGATATTTTATTTGCATCAGGAACTGATGCTCTTTACCCTTCTTTTTAATATCAAAGATACATGACCGATACCAATAGGACTGAAGTCAAATGGGACCAGCAAATTAATTTTTTTTAAAAGTTGGAGATATCAGTATGCTCTGAGAACCCCTGAGATTTGTAGTACAAAAGGGTGCGGGGGGACAGGGCACAGAACCCCCAAGAAACAGCCAATGAGAATGGAACATACCTAATAGTCATGATGTATTGTGTTCCAGCTGAGTGAGGGAGAAGGAAATGGGGAAATGGAGCAATCTGCTGGAGAACAGGATGTCCTGTCTGAAATGTTGAACATGAGCGCTCCCATTAGGAGGTGAGGATATACTGTAACATTTTGTTGCAGGTCTCACTTGCTTAGAATCTGTTTTGCAAATGAGTGCTTCTTTTTTTCTTCTTGACAGCAAATGTGTTTTACATGTCACTTTAACCCATTTATTTTTGTTCATTCCACTATTTTTGCAAGTAAAAAATTAGAGAATCAGGTATTGATGAAACAAGTGACAAGATCTTATCATTCATGCATATGTCATACATGGAAATATGTCCAGAGAGTATATATGGAGCTCATATATATATGTGTGTGTGTTGGCCAATTTCCCCCTCTATGCATACATGCACAGCCAGACCCTTGCATATATTGTCCATTTATTTGTATGCTGTTCATCCATAAGATGGATGAACAATGGAGATAGTGACAGACTTTATTTTCCTGGGCTCCAAGATCATTGCAGACGGGGACTGCAGCCAAGAAATTAAAAGATGTTTGCTCCTTGGGAGAAAAGCTATGGCAAATCTGGACAGCATACTGAAAAGCAGAGACATCACCCTGCCGACAAAAGTGCGTATAATCAAGGCTATGGTTTTCCCAGTTGCAATGTTTGGACCATAAGTTGGACCATAAGGAAGGCTGAGTGCCAAAGGATTGAAGCCTTTGAATTGTGGTGCTGGAGGAGACTTGGACTGCAAGGCAATCAAACTGGTCAGTCCTAGAGGAGATCAACCCTGACTGCTCTTTAGAAGGCCAGATCCTGAAGATGAAACTCAAATACTTTGGCCACCTAATGAGAAGGAAGGAATCTCCCTGGAGAAGAGCCTAATGCTGGGAACAATAGATGGCAAAAGAAGAAGGGGACAGCAAGGAATGAGATGGCTAGATGGAATCACAGAAGCAGTCGGTGTGAGCTTAAGTGGACTCCGGGGGATGGTGGAGGACAGGAAGACCTGGAGGAATGTTGTCCATGGGGTCGCGATGGGTCAGACACGACTTCGCGACTAACAACAACATCCATAAGACTGTGCCAAAGCTGCACACAATGTATTTTTAAAACACCATTACAGATTCAGTAATTATTAAGACCTTACTCTAGAAATTCTGTGATGTATTTCCGGCTACATTTTGACCACATCCAGGGGTTGGTGTTGTAGCTCAGTGTAGGAGCCATAACATGTTGTTGGCTTTTTCCTCCATCTTCTTTGCATTTATTGTTGTCATCGTGAGGCATGTTAAATCTAAAGAGACAACACATTGGTCAACATGTCAGCATGAATTTTAAAAAGAGGGTAATCAAGGTTACAATTCTGAGAAAGTTAAACATCCTTAAATATCAGCAATTTGAATGAAAAGGAATTAAGCAGGTAGTTAACTCCTGCACTGAAATCAATGAGAATTAAAGATTACCATATGGCAGTGGTTTTCAACCTTTCTACACTAGAGGACTGGTAAAAACAGGAAAACCACCTTGAGGACCACTGAGGCAGAAACAAAAAGCCATCTCTCCCCTCCCTGGCAGCACGGGCGCACCCCCCATGGACGTGATGCCCACTGAGGAAGAGGTGGTGGAGCACAGTCAGCCCCCCTGCTGCTCTGCGGTGAACAGGATACAGGCCCCCCACGGACTGGCAAGAAACCTCTGGCAGACTGGCGCTGGTCCACAGACCTGTGGTTGAAAGCCACTGCTGTATGGTTAGACTTTGTCCTGCTGGTGGTTTTTACTTTGGTTTTACATTGCAGTTTTAAACTGGTAAATTATCTATACTGTGCTTTGTCATGTCTCTCATGGTTTTTAACTGTTGTGAATTGTCTGGAGAGCTCTGGCTGTACAAATAGGGCAGTTTAGAATTGTATTAAATAAAAAAATAGAATATTTGAGACTTTCTACTATGCCAGGAGATACTGAGTAAGGGTGTTTGCTCAAGAGAAAAGCTTTAATTATTTCTGTGAATCAAATTAGGGCAGGTAACATCCACTTTGCACAAGCTACACATGCCTGTTTTCTCATATACCCCCACTGCCCCCTCCTCATCACTCAAGGAGGGAAAAAACACCTTAAGTACCATGATAAAGTATGGCAGTGGCTCCTTGAAAGATGGGACAGCCTCCACTGAATTTCTTCCTGCCTGAATTGTGGAGCTCGCAGTGCCATTTCCATGCGCCCAGACAACGAAAGGCACTGTCAGCATTTTCTGCTACCAGCAAAAGAGGATTGTGGGAAATAAAGAGAAACCTGCTCAGTTTCTCTCATGTTCCAAGCAGCTGCTGTTGCCTGCTACCTGTCCCATCTTTCAAGGTAACCTTTCCTCCCTTAGGGTTCTGCATTGTGGTATGTACATGGAAGAGCTCCCCCTCCAGTGGACTTTTTGTAACAAGGACCCCCGCTTTAAAAAAAAAAAAAAGGTGTTGATGTTCAACTGGAGCCTTGAATTGGCCCGATTCATTTGCTTACTAATCCTTACTATTCCATATTTACTAATCAATGACTCTAAATCCTCCTATACAGAACAAGTGTAAGGTCCTTGCAAGAAAGTTTTCTAATGAAGTTGAGCTTTCCGCTCCAAGCATCCTTGCACTGCAGTACACCTGGGGTCCTGATATTATACAGAGCTGATCTACAGGGATGATTGTACACCCAGAATGAGTTTGCTTCCTCTTTTTATGGCACATTTACATGCTATCAAGCATCCATATCAGTATTTCTTTTAAAAAAGCAACACCCACCCATATGAGGTCTGCAGCACATGATACCTTAAAGAATGTTACGAAGAGGCCACAGAAGCAGAGCAGTTGAAGCTGCTGTGCTACTTTAAGTGGAAGAAAGGAAAGGACCCAATGTTTGAAGCTGATGATTTGACCTTTCTATTAAGCTTGCCTCCGGTGAACAAATTCTGCCTTCCTGCTAAAAAGCAAAAAGGAGCTACCTATTCAGGGCTGCCTCTAACCCCATGAAGGCATTTTCAATGAACTGAACAAAGTTTCTTAGGTCTAGGCAGGATCTGATCTCCAGAAACTGCGGTCAGGCAACCAAACCAACCCAGGTGGATGGAATCGACAAGAGTTTTCTAGGACACCAAAAAACAAGCAACAATGGAACAATTGGCTATGAGCCAGAAGACTAAATATCACCAATTGTACCTGAAAAAAAAATCCATCACATCACTATAGTATCCATTAGTTAATGCTCTTAGTCAACAACTCAAGCTATAAAATGCAACAAAAGGTATAAAAAGTTTTTAGAAGGTTTAAAAATACCAAATAAAATAAAAGTAAAAATGGAAAAAACTTAGCAATAATGAGAATGTTTAAAATGCACTAACAAATGTAAAACAAAGACACTGAAAAATTAAAAAAAATCCTTTCCTGGGGTCAAAAACAGCACAACACGTGAGATACCAAGTGAGCTTCTTTGGGGAGCCTTTCCACAACCGTGGTGCTAAAATGGAAAAGGTGCACTTCTTAGTCTCTGCCAAAGGACCACTGAGGCCTTTCCCTTAGAAGGGGCCCCTGAAAAAAGCTGGTTGAGGAAAATCCTTGGGCCCAGGCAGGTCTGTATGGAAGACTTGTAAGGAAGGTACTGCTGTACGGAACGTACCTGTATGGAAGGTACCTACAGGTAACCTGGTCCCAAGTCATTTAGGGCTTTGAATAGTAATACCAACATCTTGAAAGGAGTCCATACATGGCCAGTATGGACAGAGAAGTACTGGCACAATATGATCACTTTTAACACTCTCCCTGCCCTAATTCGGACAAGCTGAAGTTTCCAGACCATTTTCAAAGGCCTTCCCTTGCATAAATACATTGCAGCAATACAGACAAAAGTTTACCAGCATGTGGATAACTATAGCTATACTATCACTGTCCAGATAAGGACATAGCTGGTATATAAGCTATATATAAACTGATAAACTAATATACACAATTTATTATTTTCGTGAGTCTTAGATGAGGTGGACAGGGCAGATGGGAACAAAAATGGCTCCCCAAAATGAAAACATGAAGATATATGGAGACCCTCTAATCATCTTTCCTTCCTTCCTTCCTTCCTTCTTTCCTTGCATATCCATTTTCATTCACTGCTATTTGGGAGTATCAGACACCATGGCGGTGCATGTGTTGCTTTTCCTGCCCTCCCCTTCCACAATTGGAGAAAGGAAAGATGGGTCACAGGGGCCGTTTCTCTTGTCTTTCTTATCTCTCACTGTCCCTGCGTCTCCTTTACTCCTTCTTGAAGTGAGACAGAGACTGTTAGTGGCTTGAAGCATTCCTATTGCAACCTGGCTATCTGGAAAGTAACTTTTACATAACACTTGCTGCAGCAACAGCAACCACATTTGTGAAACTGGCAGGATTTTAATTAGAAGTGGCTTGTAGCAAATGAAATCACAGTTAGTTCAAATGAAAACAAAGATTAGGCTTAGTGGAAAATCTGACCTAAGTTATGCGATTTCTTGGGAGGAGTCTGAAAACTTAAGGAAGTACCACATGCAGATATTAACCATGCAAAAATATTAGAAACATTTTGGGCTTTCTGCTCTGAAACCAATGGGCAATTATGGAGCATTGCATAGATTTTAGGTAGAAAAGCCAACCAAGCAAATTAAAATTAATATTTTATGGTTATTGATGAAGCTCTGAATATAACAATACTTTAGCAATGACATACCAAAAGAAGTATAGAACTTAAAGAGTGTCATAAAACTTTGCAATGTGGTTTTGAGCTCAGTAAAATTAAAATTAAACAGCAATTTTCAGAGAAGTTTGCTAACAGGGGTTTTTAATTTGGCATTCATACTTCAGGGTATAAACATGTAACCTCCAAATGGCCTACTATTTTAAATATTTTACAAAAACAGCACAGTAAACTGTACTTTACTGTACTTTTGCTGCTTGAAGTCACAAAGCCATTTAACCAGGAAAGAAACTAGTCAATTGTAATATTGCCATGTGTTCAGAACTAGAAAAGCAAATCCAGAAAATCAGAAATCCAGAAAAGCAAAAATGCAGTCAGTCTTTTCAGTGTGGTTATATGCTCCCCTGCTGACCAGAGGGCAAATGATAGTCAATTGCATCCAACATTGGATATGTCAGCATTCAGAATCTCATTTTTCAAAGACAGAAGTACTTTATAATGCTAACACACTGTTAAAAGAACAGTGGATTTGATCCTTGGGGCAGAATGCTATTCCTTGAACCCTTGATGGATGGCTTCTGATAATCTAGTGGGATGCACGAGAGGTAGTAGAGGTAACCTTCACCTCCCCATCATCCTGGCCTGTATTTTTCACTAGATGAGTTTTTTTGCCCATCTGGCAAGGACAATGAAATGGTTCTTTCCATGGTTCTGGCTGCAAGGGGGCAAGAGAGAGTCAGCTTGCAAACATCAGTTTATAAGGTCAGAGTGCTACCTCCAACCTTACAACAGGGATTCCCAGTATCCAATGGTTCCTCAGATAATAACTGGGAACCACATAAGAAAACTGCTTCCTAATTTTTCTTCCATACATGTAAAGGCAAATTCTGTCAATTTTCTGTCCATTTGAAACTCTGTCAATTCTCTGTCCATCTTTTGCACCATATTCTATGCAATTGCTAAGAGTTCCCCTTAGATTTTCAGATGACATAGCTGCAGAAGGAAGGAGTAAGTACAAAAGATCTGTTCTGTAAATATGAATTCTTTTCAGTTCATGAGAGGCAAGACAGGATCCGAGTCAGTAATGGTAAACTACACACACACACATACACACTCCCCATGCAAACTAATTCTGTGCAGCTTCTTTAACGTGCAATCCACATGTTATTTAATGTTTTTGTTTTGAATATAACTGTACTGTTATAGGACGTACACATGGCCAAGTTCATGTGCAATTGTAAAAGCAGTACTTAGTCCACTGTCTTCACTAATTGAACAGCTCCGGTATGGATCGCAGACCGTACCCAATTCAGCCAGACCTGGGAAATTAAAAGCAGAACAAAGGTTTGAGTTCTAAATAAAAATACATGACATTCTGTCAGGAGTATGTTTACATTGTCACCTTATAAGAAAAAGATTAGGCTTACCTAAAGTATCACATTTGTCGTGAGCTCTACATATATCCTGTCTGAAAGCAAAACAGATGCCATGCTTTTAAAATTCATGCAACTTATCATTTAAACACAATCATCAATAGATACCATTTAATTAAACTGCCTGGTTTTCCTGCCTAACATCTATTGCCAATGACCTGTCCAATTTTAAATGCTCAAGAAGGATAACAGTGGATCAAAAAGCAAGAAGAAACACTAACTTGCATTTTCAAAAGGCTATTTTTGAAGGCTTCAGCCTCTCACACTGAAACTATTTCCCAGCACTATTAACAATACACTCTAGAGACAACAATTATTGATTTAAGAAAATTTTCTGTACTGAACTTTAAAGTCCTAAATGGTGAGTCAGCTGGGTGCTGTAACTCATAATCACTGACTATTGGAAAAGTATAAAAGACATCAGAAAGTAACAAAATCAGCCTTTTCCATTCCCCCTTTTAGAGCATTTTTGAGTAAATTCCAAGTTGTTTTACATCAGACGCTTCCAACATTTGTGGAAGCAAAAATACTGGCATTTTGCTTCCAAGTTTCAGCAGCAAGCTGCTACTGAGTGGTAAAAGACTCAAATTTACATTGTTGTTCAAGCTACTGTCAATCCTTTCATAATTCTACAACAGTTTGTCACTGATTTTGCTACCACTGCATTCAGTCATGTGGCAGGGATAGAAACGTGGTTCCTGGAGAGGTCTCAAGGGAATCAAAAGTGGCCCCCAAAGTTGACCAGCCTAGTATCATAGAGATAATTAGGAATGCTTCCCATCCACAGGCCATCTGGCCACATTTGAATCCATCAAAACAGATGATAATATCAACGGTACCACAGGCAGCCCATAGTATTGCTAATTCATCCCTAAACTGAATGGGTGAGAGGCATCTTATACACCAAAAGCAGAAAATAGTTTTGCTCTCTTAGTCATTAAGAGATAGACAGATATGTCTAGAACATAATACGGGAATAAACATTTGCCATAATTTTCTCCACTTAAAATCTACAGCTATGATCAAGGCTATAGCTGTTTGGTCTCCACTGCAAACATTACAGCTTGCACAAATACCTTTCCCCTGCCCAGACACACAGAGTTTCATTTCAGCAGCTCCTATTCATTCACCCATCCGATCAATTGTATTTTTAAATCCTAAACCTCCAAAACACAGTTGACAACTGGAAGATTGCTTGAGCAAAAACTGAAAAAGTATTGGTACACATCAGATCATGGCCTACAGTCACAGTAGGCTGTTCAACCCCTGAGTTTAAATCCTTCCTCCAAGCCCTCTTCTTTTTGTGCAAACATTATGGCATTACTAGTTTTCTGCTAATTAGTGTTGCTTAATAAGAAACTTCCACACATTATTAACCTTGAACCAAAAATGGATGTCTCAAGAAGGGTTCAGCGATGAAGATGAGGCACAATGGGAACTGACCAGAGAGGTAGTCTCCAGTCATAACAGAAAATGGCATTGCAGATGATACTCCCATGTGCATCACTGTCAAAGCCAAACACTCTTAAAACAACTTTCTCCCATTATACTGCACCATTTCCACTGTCTCGGAGTATAGCATGTACAATAGTGCTAAAACATTACCATTTTCATGCAAAGAAAGATGGCAATAACATGGCTATTTTCATGGGGCCAAATAATAAGAACCTGCTTGTGACATACCTTGTCACCAATACAGCAGTGTCATGCTTATCCGGATGTTCTTCATTAGGGTGGTTTTGGGTTTTCTGCCACTGGCAAAAGTTTTTTAGTGTTGTCTGAGCATTGTAGGATATGGAAGGCCCATCCTAGAATAAAATGGCATAAAGGAAGATTAGGAATGCCTCTGCCTCCCCTTTCCCTCCCCTTTAATTATTTAGCCTGCAATCCAATGCATGTTGCCTTCTTAGAGATAAGTCCCACTGTTTATTATTCTGACTAAATTTATTTCTATTCTGCCCAGGAATAAAGCTCACTGGTAGTCTGAAACAATTAATAAAATACAATGTAAATCACAGTGAAACATCGTAATATTTCATCAAAGATTTTAAACCAAAGTTTAACGAATTAGAGAGCAATGACAGATTCATGCAGCTTGACCTTCTAAAACAACTGACTACACACCCTCCAAGTGCTTCTTAGAGCTGTTTGACTACTCAGCATAGAGGGCAGTCTCATCCTGGCCCTTTTATTTGTGGCCACCAATGGAGGCTCCCTAAGGTGTGATAGTCAGAAGAAGGCCGGTCCTGATGCTGATTGTAGTACCTGGATAGACTGCAGTTGGGAGAGGTGCTCGGTCAAGTACTGCATTTGGTATATGGATTCCTAGGTTAAAATAAGCACCCTGAAGTGGGCTTGGAAGGATATAGGCAGCCAGTGATTGTGGGCCAGAACATTCTGGTTCTACTCTTCAGTCTGTCTGTTGCATTTTGTACAGGCTGCAGCTTCTGAACAATCTCCAAGGCCAGCCCTACACACAGTGCATGGCAGTAGTCTAGTTATTACCAGGCTGTCCCTCTCCAGATAAGTGCATAGCTGGGCCACCAGCTGAAGCTGGTAGAGAGCACTGCATACCACTGAGGCCACCTGAACCTCAAAGACAAAAATGAGTCAATGAACACCCCTAAGCTATGAACCTAAGCTTCAAGGGGAGGAACCACATCTGGCCAGAGGAACCACTCATCAACAGCACCAGTAACACTATAATATTATTGTTGCAGTTGTCTGTCTTTCTGCCTGACAGCAAGAACAATGACCATAAGAGTAAGTGAAATCACATCAGCAGTAATCAGACATAAAGGCAGTTTAAAAAACAATGAATGTAATATCTAAAAGACAGCAAATGACATTTCAAAGATTATCAGTTTTCCAAATGACTAACAGTATAAGCAGTAATAATAAGGAAAAAAACAGTTATGACAATCCCTTCTTCTCCAAAGACTTTCCTTAAAAAGGGGAAGCCCTAACTTGCCATTAGGAGAGAAAAGGCTACCTGGGTCTTCCCAAGCTTGCTGGGAATGAAGGGGTACACTGAGGGACACACATTAACGTCACCAGCAGGTACTGGGGGTGGGGGATGTAAGAGAGAACTGGCTGAAGTGGGGACGGGGTGCTAGGAAAAAGAGGACACTGCAGCAAAGATAAGCACAGCATCAGGTGGGGAGGAAAGATTAAATTGTGTTTTTCCAGTTGAATTCGTCTAATTGAAGCCAACAACAGCATAACACAAGTCATTGGAGATATGTCAAAAAGCGAGAGGGAAGGGAAAAGAACATCCTAAAAAGTAATTACCTGTTCATTCTGTATGATGGCTAATTTCACAATAACAATATTAATTAAATTTCCAATACTTGGGTCTTTATATATAGATGCAACCTGCATAAAAGATACACGTTGAAAAATTAATGTTAACAAGCATACAAGCATGCAAAAAATAAGCATCTTTTCTCTGCTACGTTTTAAAAAAGTGGCAGCTGTTTGCCTATATCAGATTTAATTTTGGCCTCAAGCAGCACTTTCCACAAAGGACAGATCCTGAGGGTAAGAATGCATACCATTATGAAACACCAGCGACTGAAAAATGTACACAAATTCACAGGATGAAGTGTTTCAAGTTATGAAGAAGGAGATGGTGGCCTTACCATCCTCAGCATGCAACACTGGTTGAAACTATTTAGTGTTGCTGCAGGCAGTAACCGAAGTAAGCAGAGAGGGGAAAGTGCCCCAGGCCAGCAGTCTGACAGTGTCTTCCCTTCCCAAGTGTCTCAACCTCACACCTCCTTTCTTAAGTACCCACTCAGAGTTAAACCACAGGCAAGCTTAATTGCATAGTGTGTGGGGGACCCTAAGTTTTTGTGTTACTGTATTTTAGACTTGCGAACTCGGGAGTGGTGGCGGGGAGGGGGGGGGGTTAATGCAGCTTCCTATTCACTCTCCAGCCCTTAAACCTGCTTAGCCCATGTGTACATGTGTGCACACACACAGGGACTAAAGAAAGGAAGGGGTATTCTACTGGCACCAAAGAAGTGTTTCATCTTTTAGCCATTAAAGGGGGGAATTGTATGTGTGTATGGGAGATGGGCAGAAAGTGATAGGAAGGTTGAACACATACACCTCACTTGCATGCAGTGATTCCATTGTGGCTCATAACCCACATGCTTACGCTAAAGTAAAACAAGGTAAAAGGATCACTTACACAATAGGAGTGTAAGATATTTATTTATTAGCTTTTTGGCCCTCTCCATGAAGCATAATGCTCCCTGGGCAGCTTTCAGAGTTAAGGCAGCAGGTGGCATTGCCCTCAAGGTGGCCTCAAGAAGCAGGTTTTATTTTCCCTCAGGTATATGAACCCACAGTTGGTGCTCAGGAAATGAAAACAAAACTCACCTCACTTTATAACCAAGAAGAAATCCAAGGAGAAAGTGAGAAAATAAGGAAAAGAATAGCCTGATAAGCAGGTGCTGAGTTCAAAACAGAAAGCATAAAAGTTCTTGATTTATTAATATACTGTACCAACATGTGTAAGAACTGTATGTCTAGAGGGAGAAATAAAATAGGAAACCAAAAAGTATCCAGGTCTCACCGTTTCCTTAAAAAGCAAACTGAGGTAGTTGAGTAACTATGACTTTTTAATTAAAATGGGATCATCCAAAAATTAGATAATGCTTTCCACATTTTTCAGGGACTCCCAAGGTATGCAGAAGTTTTGTACATTAAAAGAAAAAGGCCCTGCAAAATTCAGGACCATTAACTGAAGCAAAAGCATAGTGATAAGAAGATACCTGAGTGACCCCATTAATTGTTTGGAGTGAGAACTTTAGGTTGGATTGTTTCATTATTGTAGCTGTCCTGGAGCCTATTGATATAGAGTGGATTAAAATATTTTAGTAAAAAACTCCTGGGTTCAAATTGAAAACATTTTTGGACTACACCAGAACTGTACAAGTAAAACAATTGTGAAATCCAGGAATTTGGAATAGAAGTGACTAGGCATCATAATGTCCCATACCTGACTTTCCAAAAGGTAGCCATTCTTTCTGACTCAGATTTTTTTCCTATTACTTTCTATTCCAATTCTACTTTTGAGGGTCTTTTTTTAAAAAAAGTAATTGCCTGTTAATGCATATTACCTGGGACAGAGGCTGTGGCTAAGAGCCAGTGGCTTGCAACAGCTCTTCATTGCAGCTGACTGTTTTGCTAAGAATGAGTGGCGAGGCTAAAAATAAGGCCCAGAAGTTACCCAGTTGGGCAAATGTATTACTCTAACACTTACATCTGTGACTAAAGACTGCTGAGCCATAGAAATGGAAGTGTCCATTTAAAAAGTAAGGATACAATCCTATGCATGCTCAGAGATTTAAAAAAAGTTACGGTAGGAATAAATTGATTTTGTTAAACTTATTTCTTCTGTGTTTGGAAGATTATCAGGTTTTGTAATTCCTTAATTGCTAGAATCAGATTTTCTTCTAGGGGTACATGAAAATTTTGTTCTACTTGCATAATGTGTGAATTGACAAAGTACTCAAAGTTGTACTGCAAAGCTAAATTGAACTGGACTTTGGATCAGGTTGGTATTGGTATTTTACTTTTCATATGAAAATCTGTATTTTCTAGATTTTCATGATGGTTTTTCAAAATGTAAGCCTCAATTATGTACATCTTTATAATGTGTGCATCCCTCACCTGGAGATAGGTACACATTCTCCAAAAGTGCAAATTTTTAATCAACATTTTTCAAATGTTTCATCAAATGTTGTCAGATGAATTTCTGTAGGTCAGCAAATCACATTACAAACTTAGAAGTATATTGTTACTACTACTATACTGCATTTATATTCTACTCTTTCCCCTCTTACAGGAACCTGAGGTAGTTTACATAGTTCTCAGACTTTGACAGCAGATTAAACCTGAGCCCACATTCAGCCTGGAAAATGTGAGCTGGATAAATCCTGATCAGAAATGAACTAAGTTTCTCATACAGTCCTCAGTTGTGAAAGTGTGAATTAGTATTAATTCACACAAAAAGTAAAAAACCTGTCCACAACTCAAAAAAAGACTTTTGCTGCAGTATTCACAGGTCAGAGTCATAGAAAACCAAACTCATTAGAATCCACTGGAGATTTCTCCAACTTCCCTACTCCCAGCATGCTGATTGGGTCACACTGGGAGCTGGAGTACTTTTTTTCGCTGGAAACATGCATAGGATTGCACCCTAAGTGGGAAGAAGGGAATTGATCTGTTTGAGCCTCTTCCAGCTTATAGCATTCCGAAGGGAAGCCTTAGTGTCAGCAGCTGTACAGCCCAGTGGGAATGATGTGGCCCTGTGTTCTCATACATCCAGACAGCAGCTCTAAGCAGGAGTGCTGCCTCTAAGTGCTCAGCTTACACTGCAACAGCTAGTTCATGTTCATGGAAGGATTCAGTTACACATGGCATCTATCTTTCTGTCTGCACATCCACCAAAATTAACATGTTTTTCCAAATAGCAAGTGCGCAATAAATGTCATCTTTTACAAGATCCAATGGATCAAGAAGGCTATATTTAAAAAAGAGAAGGATTCATAATTTGAAGCTAATAAGATCTAACCCACATTAATTCTGATTAAAATACTTACTATGGACATTAATGTCAAAATGTAGTGCTGCAGGTTTGCTCCATGGTAAGCAAGCATTCGGCTGTCTGCCACCACCATGACTTCCACGAATCGAGGATAAGAGAGAAATCGCTTGGTTCTTCTGTGAGAGTTTGTTCCCCATTCATTGCCAGTTTTGTTTTTACTGAATTCAAGAAATCGCTCTGAGGCTAAGCTACGTTTCAGCGCCTCTACATCAGATAATATGCTAGTAAGGGGCCACTGTTTTGTCTTGCTTCGGCTTTTGAACTTTCTGTGATTTTTTGAATGCCCTGTAAGTTTTAAAAAAGAAAATGACAGCCCAGTAAGTCAGAGCTCCCAATGCAAAACCAAGACCATGCGTAATTTCCTTCTAATTCTGCAAACAGGGGCTGCTGAGTGTCCAGGTGGAAACTGGAATAAGAGCCTTAAGTCAAGTACTGAAACCTTGTCAAGTTTTCTCAAACAATGTTGCAGAACCATCTGCTTAAAGGCCAAGCCAGGAGAATAATTTACTTCTTGACTGATGCGATTTATCAGTGTCATAGTTCACCTACATTCATTTCATTTAATTCATTCATGTAGTTCAATTTCATTGGATTTTGCATTCTCAGCTATTAACAACAGGCCTTATGCACCTAAATTCAGACTTATTTAAGAGTGAAGTTAATGGGACAAGGTAGAATAACAGCGGCTGTGACCATATTATTCATATCTTACAGAAAGTCAAACTGATCACACTAATTTGACCAATGCCACATTACAAGTCCACAGCAGAAGCAACATGAATAGAATTAGCCTAATCTGAGAACCAAACTACATGTTCTGTGTGCATCTGCAATTCTTTCTCACCCCACTTTTTAATGTAAAGCAATTGTAGATGGCTTTCACATTGAGGGGACTGCTGGGGATAGGAGTAGTTCAGAACTTTTTCCCACTCCAACTCACCTCTCAGCTCTACTTTTATCCCAAGGAGGAAAAGGCGCACATCTTTCTCCCCCAAATTCAGTTTCCACAGCGCCAAGATGAAAATCACTATCTGAAAGACCCATTCTTCTACAAGAACATCTCTCCAAAGATCCATTCTGCCCCACCCTCTGAGAATACCTCTTCAAAAAACACCCCTGGTCACTTTGATTTTGGATTTAGTACTCGTAAAATGCTTTACTTTATTCTAGTAAAAAGGCAAGATACAGAAGATATTTTTCACCCTCTTGGACAGCTGCCAGAATTGGAGGACATAAAAACGGAAACAAAGGCGATGGCAGTTGCGCCATTCTTCCTGTCGTAGCGCAAACCTGTGCAGTAACACATTATGCATTTCTGGAGTATTACACACATACAATTGTGAATGCTATGCGCTAGAAATACTAATGTGCGCACAATGAAGTATATGGTGTGACACCAATTCTGTAGGAAACTTTCCAGGAGACTGCAAGGATTCATGTTTCTCATCCAGCCACTTTGCATGTGCGCTAGCCAATCCAAAGAAGACCCTAAGCCTCCTTTCCTTAGTAGTGCAAATGCATGCCATCTGAACCTAGCTTAGGGTTAAGTCTTAGCGTTTTCTCAGGCAAACTGGAGATAAGGTATAGGACATCAGCTTCTGTACCACATCTAATCAAGCTAAGGGAGGGTTCAGAGAGCAAGATAACAAATATGCATAGGCTGAGTGAGAATTCTTGCTGAACCATGGCTTGTTCTTGAAACGTGTGTTGTGTTATCATGTTGTGTGAATACAGCCAAGCTAAAAAACCATGGGGAACATACAGGTCACAACCCACCAACAAACTGTGTGCTCTTTTCATGGCTTCCTTAATTTAATAAGCCATAGCATGTTTGCACACCTGCGTTCAGACAACACAATAACCCATGTTTCCACAACTCACACTCAACCAATAGACATAAATGTAGGTTAGTATACAATTTCAATCCAGTCATTCCTTAACAAGAAAAAAGCATTATGTACACTTTGAGAAGCACTTTAATATTTGTGGCAAAAAACCCTTCTACATAGACTCTCCTTCTTAAATGCCAAACATAAGGTAGAAAACCTAAGAACAGAAAGAAGTTGTTAGCCAAAGGGGAACAAAGACATCTTATTTTTGCTATATTTCTCCCTGTTGGCCATTGTTTAAATACTCTTTTGTTCATCTTAACTGTGAGTTTTTTCATTGGCTACAAGCATGAAAGGCAGGTGTAGGCCTGCCTTTTATCAAATGATTAAGCAAAATATGGCCTTCAAATTTTCCCTTAATTCGTAGGAACAATACATAAAGGTTTTGTTTTTCTAAAAGTAAAATGCAATCTAGGAATGCAGGCCAGGCAGCAAATGCCCCAAACAGGCACAAGGTGGCAGGCCTAGAATCCAAGAAAAAAACTGGCTATGGCAACCGCTACACTATACATAATCCCTGTGTCCACAATCATTGTTATGCTAAACTGAGAAATTGAAAGAGTACAATCACTTATTAGTAGCCACTCTAATCCTTTCCACTTTCACATTAACTTGTCCTTCAGAATAGAAAGAAAGCATTTTGTACTATTTAGTGTGGCATGTGACAATGAAAGCAAGTACCATTCAGTTTCAGGTTTGTAAAAGACTGCAAAGGGGGGGGGGGGTCTTCAGTGACTCAGCCTTGCAGAGGAATATATGCAATAACCAGGAAGTTAATTATTTCACAGGCTTCCACAAATCTTATCAAATGTTAACCAATATATCCACAGGCAGTAACATATGTTGTGGTCTGAAAATGAGGATTTTTCTTTGCAATTGGCACAGCACCAAATGGTGCTGCCTTTATTTATAACTGCATGGACAGACTTTACCTTGGTACATATACATTTTTTCCTGTAACCCTGAAAGTGTCAGCCAACATCGTGGGTTGTTGTTATGGGCTGTCAAGTAGTCTCCGACTTATGGCAACCCTATGAATGAATGACCTCCAAAATGTTCTGTCCTTGACAGCTTTGCTCAGCCTTTGTAAAATCAAGGCTGTGGTTTCTTTTATGGAATCAATCCATCTCAGAGTTGGCTTTCCTCTTCTTTTGCTTTCAACTTTTCCTTCTTCCCTACAGGGTCTTGCCTTCTAATGATGTGCCTGAAGTATGATAGCTTCAGTTCTGTCAGTTTTGTTCCAGAGGAAGTTCTGGCTTGATTTGATCTAGGACCCACTTGCTTGTCTCACTGTCAATCCAAAATATTCACAAAGCTCTCTCCCAGCACCATGCTTCAAATGCTTCAATTTTCTTCCTGTTAGCTTTCTGCACTGTCCAGCCTTCACATTCACAGTGATCAAGAATACGATAGTGTGGATGATCTTGGCCTTCATCTCCAGTGAAATGTCTTTACCTTTCTTTTCTGAGCTTTTCTAGTTCATTGACTGCTGACGTCTCAAGTTATAGTTTACTTCTAATTTCTTTGCTGCAGTCTCCTTCCCAAATTTTGATTGAGGAATGAAAATTAGCTAAAAATGAAAATTAGCTATGTATCACTACAATTTCAATGAAGGGCACCTAACAAACTGCATGTGAATGGCAGAGTGCAGGCCCACTGAGCGCATGTACTGAAGGTTTGGGTGAAACTTTGTCTGAAACTGTTTTTATTTCTAACATAAGAGCAGGGGTGAGGAATGAGGTTGGAGTGGGCAGATTTCCACCCCCAGTCCTCTTTAGGACAAATGAAATCCAGGATCATGGCTTTACTTCATGCAGACTCCCCTCCCTGGGATTGGGATAAATCAGGGATTGTCCTCTACATCCTGCCCCTCCTGCAATTGACAGGGAAATGCTTAATAATAAGCATTTAATAAGGTGATAAGGGAATAAGATAATAAGGTGAACTGTCTCTGTGTTTGTTCTGCAAGCCCTTGCTATATGTTGATAGGAATACTTGCAGAGGGAGTCAAATTCTCCAGGGATTGTATGGGGAACCTCTGTGGGATAAATTTGCCTTGTCAGCACAAAGTTCCCAAATCCTGTTCTAGAACACTGAACTTAATTTGACACAGGTAGAGAAACTCTATGTGAAACTGCACAACAAGTAGAAACAGTGATTCCTCACAAACTTGGTCCGAGTGAGAAAATATAAATTAAATTAATTGGAAATATGAAGGCAAGGGGAAAAACACTGCTATCTAGGCCAGAAGCAATGAAAACACTTAGGACAACATCACTGACAATAAGGCAAGAATAAGACAGGAATTGAGACTACTTATTCAACTTCATTTTAATGTATGTTATTCTAAGACAAATTATCTACATAACTTGGACAGGACAAGATAGAGAGGTACAAAAAGGGGGAAATCTCCCTCCTTTTACCAGTTAAAGGAAAGGAAAGAGAAGGGAATGTGGTCCGAGGGCTAGTAGTAAATAGCTTTGAGGAAAACAGCAGAACCAGGCCAGAGAGGGGAGAGATGGGATCCTCCTTCAGATTGGATTTAGATTCAAGATCCAGAGCTTTTCATGAACACTTTTAACTTGAAGTGGGGTTTTATGAACTGAGCCTCGTTCAGGGGAACACTGTTGGGACATGTATAAAACAGTTATAGCTAGCAATATTCAGCACCATTTTCTAAAACTGAAGTTAACTGCACATCCTTTTTGGCATGTTCATGATTGGAAGACTCTGTGACTGAAATAGCAATTCACAATTGCTCCTGTCACAATATCTTCCTTCCTTATAACAAAACTTAGCTGCCTCTTCTTATAATAAGTGGGTGGGGCAGCATGGATGAGATGGTGCCTAACAATGAAGGCTTTTACTTGTATTAGATAAAATCTTGGCTAACTCATCTTTCACAGACTATGCTGTATTTCAAATTCCTAGCAGCAATCACATGGATAAAGGCAATATGCAAGGCAAAATGGCCACCCGTCCATGTGTTTAAGCAGGTAACTTTTTACTGAACCTGCTCTTCCACCATTAACAGGCTATCTTGTGAACATTAAAAACTGATGCTTTTTCCACCATGTTAACTTTTCAGTTGTGGTGCCCATCTATGGAATCAGCTCCCCAGAAATGTGTGCCTTCTTTGTACACATTTTGGTGCCAGGCAAAGATTTTTCTTTTCTTTTCAGAGTATTCTAATTACTGACAGTTTAAATTCTAATTTCATTCTAATTTAGGTTATCTTAATTGATTAATTTTAATATTTCAGTTGTTATTTCTAATATGCTGTCCAATCTTTTAGTGTATGAAGTCAATATGATTGGTGTTCCTGCTTTTGAAATGGATGTTTTTAATGGAATTGACATTTTATTATTGAATTTTATATGTTTTTTATGTTTTGTT